CCCCCTTGTACTACCCCCCTTGTACTACCCCCCTACACTACCCCCCTTGTACTACCCCCTGTACTACCCCCCCTACACTACCCCCCTTGTACACCCCCTGTACTACCCCCCCCTACACTACCCCCCTTGTACTACCCCCTGTACTACCCCCCTTACACTACCCCCCTTGTACTACCCATGTACTACCCCCCCCTACCTACCCCCCTTGTACTACCCCCTGTACTACCCCCCCTACACTACCCCCTGTACTACCCCCCCTACACTACCCCCCTTGTACTACCCCCTGTACTACCCCCCCTACACTACCCCCCTTGTACTACCCCCTGTACTACCCCCCTTACACTACCCCCTTACTACCCCTGTACTACCCCCCTTACACTACCCCCCTTGTACTACCCCTGTACTACCCCCCCCCCTACACTACCCCCTGTACTACCCCTTACTACCCCCCTACACTACCCCCCTTGTACTACCCCCTGTACTACCCCCTTGTACTACCCCCCTTGTACTACCCCCTGTACTACCCCCCCTTACACTACCCCCCTTGTACTACCCCCTGTACTACCCCCCTACACTACCCCCTGTACTACCCCCTGTACTACCCCCCCACACTACCCCCTGTACTACCCCTGTACTACCCCCCCTACACTACCCCCCTTGTACTACCCCTGTACTACCACCCCCCCCTACACTACCCCCCTTGTACTACCCCCTGTACTACCCCCCTTACACTACCCCCTGTACTACCCCCCCTACACTACCCCCTGTACTACCCCCTGTACTACCCCCCCCTACACTACCCCCTGTACTACCCCCTGTACTACCCCCCCCTACACTACCCCCCTTGTACTACCCCTGTACTACCCCCCCCTACACTACCCCCTGTACTACCCCCCCCTACACTACCCCCCTGTACTACCCCCCCCTACACTACCCCCCTTGTACTACCCCCGTACTACCCCCCCTACACTACCCCCCTTGTACTACCCCCCCCTACACTACCCTGTACTACCCCCCCTACACCCCCCCTGTACTACCCCCCCCACCTTGTACTACCCCCTGTACTACCCCCCCCTACACTACCCCCTGTACTACCCCCCCTACACTACCCCCCCGTACTACCCCCTGTACTACCCCCCCTACAACCCCCTACTACCCCCCCACCCCCTGTACAGTACTACCCCCCCCCACACTACCCCCCCCACCTACCCCCATGCCCCCCCCCGCCCTGACGCCAGGCGGCCCCCCCGCACCTTCTCGCCGTACGAGTCGTAGACGCGGCGGCGCTCGCGTCGCTCAGTCACCTCGTAGGCCTCGGCCACCTCCTTGAAGCGCTCCTCGGCCCCGGGCGCCTTGTTCTTGTCCGGTGGAACTGAGCGCCACTCTCCTGTACGCCTCTTCACGTCCTCGTCGCTCGCATCCCGCGCCAGGCCAAGCGTCTTGTAGTAGTCCTTCGACATCGCGGCCACGGGATACCTACTGCGGCTGCCGCGGATTTCTAGCGCAAGACTGCTTCCCCGCCTTGTCGCAGATACCCACTGCGGCTGCCGCGGATTTCTAGCGCAAGACTGCTTCCCGCCTTGTCGCAGATACCCTGCGGCTGCCGCGGATTCTAGCGCAAGACTGCTTCCCCGCCTTGTCGCAGATACCTACTGCGGCTGCCGCGGATTTCTAGCGCAAGACTCCTTCCCCGCCTGTCGCAGATACCTACTGCGCTGCCGCGGATTTCTAGCGCAAGACTCCTTCCCCGCCTGTCGCAGATACCTACTGCGGCTGCCGCGGATTTCTACGCAAGACTCCTTCCCCGCCTGTCGCAGATACCTACTGCGGCTGCCGCGGATTTCTAGCGCAAGACTCCTTCCCCGCCTTGTCGCAGCTACCTACTGCGGCTGCCGCGGATTTCTAGCGCAAGACTCCTTCCCCCGCCTGTCGCAGATAACCTACGGAGGCTGCCGCGGATTTCTAGCGCAAGACTCCTTCCCCGCCTTGTCGCAGATACCTACTGCGGCTGCGCGGATTTCTAGCGCAAGACTCAGCCGTACTGCTGCCTGCGGCAAATCCAACTGCTTTACGCGCTGCCGCGGATTTCCAACGCGGCCGCTGTTTATTACTGCGGCTGCCGCGGATTTCTAAACCCTCTGTTCTTCTGTGCAGCCCACTGCAATCAAAACAAACCCCCCGAATATGAATCCCTCCCGACGCCAACAACGTACGCCTGTTAGAATTGCTACGGTATTCCGCAACGATACGTTACTTTGTGAAAGCGCGCTATTTGTTTCTAATCTATATAAGATAACAGTTTATAAAAAAAATTGACAATCGCATGAACTCGACGAAATAAGTTTTTTTAATATTTAATAAGTTAATATTTAAAAAAAAGCGCCACTTTGCTTGCTTGTCGCGACGTCTCCGCGGCGACAGCGACGGACGCCCTAAGGCCTCGCAAGGCGCTCGCTGCTGCTAGCCGAGTGGCGGGGTGGGGGGCGTGCAGCCCGCCTTTATATAGACGGGGGGGTGAGGGGGCGCCCTGACGTCACGTCCGTGAACCGTCCAGAACGTGCGCGAGACTCCCTCGCGGCGTCACTTCCGCCCGCGGCCACCTGCCCCCCCCCCCGCCGCCAACTCCCCACGCGGCACCGTAGAACGTGGGACCCCCCCCACCAGCACAACACAACAACTACAACCACCCACACAACTTGGACACCACCACAACAACAACACAGCCCAACAACTTGGGACACCCACCACCACCACACAGCCACAGCACGTGGGACCCCCCCACCACCACCACAACAACAACATAATACAGCCACACAACTTGGACACCACCACCACCACACAGCCACAGCACGTGAGACCCCCCCACCACCACCACAACAACAACAATACAGCCACAACAACTTGGGACACCACAACCACACACGTGTGGACCCCCCCCCACCACACAGCCACAGCACGTGGGACTCCCCCCCCCCACCACCACAACAACAGCCACAGCACGTGGAACCCCCCCCCCCCCCACAACAACACAGCCACAGCACGTGGAACCCCCCCCCACCACCACAACACACAGCCACAGCACGTGGAACCCCCCCACCACCACCACACAGCCACAGCACGTGGGACCCCCCCCCCCCACCACCACACACACAGCCACAGCACGTGGAACCCCCCCCCCCACCACACAACAACACCCAGCCACAGCACGTTGACCCCCCACCACCAC